TTGTCTTTTTCTCCTATTTCTTCTTCTTCTTCTTCTTTCTTTCTATTTCTCCTTTTCATTGTCTTTTTCTCCTATTTCTATTTTCTTCTTCTTCTTAGTATTATTATTTAAGATGAAAAAATGAGTTATTTAATTATTCTCCATTATCATTATCATTTTCAATATTACAATTACTATTATTGTGATTATTATCATTATTGTTATCATTACTATTATCCTTATTATTATCATTGTTATTATCATCATTATTATTTCATCATCGTCATTATTACTATCTTTGTCATTATTATCATTTCTTTTTCGTGTACTCTTCCTTTATAATTATTTTTTATTAATCTTTTCATCTTTTGATTCACTTTCTGTACGAAAAAGCGTTGGATATTTTTTGTTTGTTTTCATGTGTTATCCTTATTGTTATCATATTGTTATTATTATTATTACTATTATTACTATTACTACTATTATTATTATCATTATTATTATCATTACTATTATTATTATTATCATCATTATTATCATTGTTATTATTATTATTATTAATATTATTATCATTATTATTATTATTATCATTAACTTACTGTTCTTATTTTATCATCATTAACTTATCGTTATTATTTTATTATTATTAACTTATTGTTAGCCTTCTTTATCATTATTGTTATCATTTTAATGTTATCATTATGTATTATTCCTTATTAGGATTTTTTAACTTGTTATTATTATTGTATTGTTATCATTATTATAATTATTTTCTGTTATCATTTTTATCCTTTCAGTTATTATTTTATTGATATCACTATTATTATTATTTATTGTTATCACATTTTACAATCATTATTGGTATTATATTATTTATATCTTCCGGTGATCTTAGTCTGTGTCTTTTTCCCGAAATTGTAGGATATATGGATATTTTATTTGTCCTGTGATATTTAAGATAAAAAGATGATAATTTTCATTATTTATTCATCAATTTTCTCATTTTATTTGTTAATTTTTCATTCATTGTGTATTTCTCTGAGATACTTCTATCGATAATAGTAAATGGGATATTTTTTTCTCGTATTTTTATGTGTTGTCCCATTAAAGAAAATGACAATATGACAATGATTATTTTCTTGTCTTTCTCTACGATCATATTAATTGAAAAAGAAAATGAGAGAAGTGTGCTTTTTCTTCTTTTATGAATGTTTCCACGCTACTTTGTTGAAAATTGAAATAAATTAAAATTAAAATATTTTCCTTTTTTCCATCATGCTATTTCTGGGAACAAATATTCACTAAAAATATAAATGAGAGAAATATATATTTCGTAAATTCGTTGTGCTAATATCTGTTGAATATCAAAACGTGAAAATTATTAAATTTTCATTTGTGTCTCCATGACTTAATAATTTATTGAAAGTGAAAGTGTGATACGCGTAACCTTACGTTATTCGCCGTTTTCTTTTTAGAAAATTGTCTTGTGTTGTACATTATCACTTAGGGTAAACTTCGATATTTCTTTGTTGTTATTTTTTTTCACCATAATTCCGGCACAGATTAAACCACATGCAAGTATTCCTTAGTTATAAAAAGAGACCTTTGGTATTATTAAGCGTCTGTTGTGATGGTTATGACAAAAATGAGGTCGAAATAAGGAAATCAAAAAAGGAAACAAGAGAAAATCGTTTTCCTCTAAGAAAGGGAAAGAGTCAGAAAATTATGTATACATGCACACAGACACACACACACACACAAGCACACACACACACACACGCACAAACACACACACACACACACTACACACATATAAATGACACACACACGCACACACACAAGGGCACACACACACCTACACACAAGCACAAACACACACACACACACACACACACTACACACACACACACACACACATACACACACACACACACACACACACACACACACAAGGGCACACACACACATACAAGCGCAAACACACACACACATACAAGCGCACACATACATACACACACACAAGCACACACACACAAACACACACACACACACATACAAGCACACATACAAGTACACACACACACACACAACACACACACACATACACACACACACAAGCACACACACAAAAATACATCATTACTACATTCTCCTAAGCGTTAACAAAATTATTCTTTAACATTTTGTTCAGCGATATAATGAACTTCAAATATAACCAACTTGTTTTTTTTTCTAGACGGAAAGCTAAATGATATGTTCGTTAAAATAGCGAAAAATATAAAATAATGATAACATTCTAGTTATGAAATGACATATATACTAATGATAACAATATTATAGATGATTATATAAGACAATAATGATATCAACTTAAATTCTAGGAACTTAATGATAAAGAAAATATGATTGATTTGTGTGTGTATGTCATGTCTTCACAATAATGAGATGTTTATATGTAGTGACAAATATAAAGGAAACTGATACATAAATAAGAATATAAACATATAGATAAAAAAAGATA